TATAACTTGTGGTGAGGGGTCACAGGTAAAAAAAAGTCTCGGAACTACTTTTTAGGGTTTAGGGAGGATTGTTTCCTGGATCAATACCATATCAGAATGAATAACCCTATTGATTATGATTAAATACATGTATTGATGTTTATTCCAGATAACTGTTTCTGTGAGCTCACCTGTGCAGATCCAGCAGCATGTTTTTGGATGTCTGCGTATCGTTGCTTGTATTTCTGAAGGGTGGGTGTGTTTCCACCCCGCTGGGCTCCACGGCCTCCTTCTGTTGCTCTGAGCGCCGCCACGCCGCCAGGACGACGGCCGTCGTGTCCTCCCATTGGTCGGGATACTCCCCGCCCAGACCGAGGAGGTGCGGCTGCTCGTCTTCGAAGGTCGATAACAGATTCCTCGACTTCACTAAAAGAGGAGAAAAGACATTTTAATTTAGATATTATCTATTGATATGTCAGTGTTTTCTTAAACAGTTTAATAAAGTTTTTTGCAGTGCAAACGATGTATTTTGTGTGTGTGTGGGCAGGAAACTGAATTTGATTGTCAAGAAAATGATATCTGGTCTCTATTATAAAAGTGTGCATGTGTGTGTGCGTGTGTGGGAGGTAGTAGAGAGGATGTAGTGAAAGGTCAGCTCTTGTAATCAGTAGCGGTGCAGCTTTCTATTATTGCAGCGCTGTAGGTGGAATCTGATTATTGCCGATGTTGTAATGGAGCTCCGCAGTTTTATAGCCGGGAAAATAATGATTCATTACAAATAGACACAGCAGGAAGAGACAGTAATTGAAAACAAATGTATTTCTATATCGTTCAAAGAATACATTTAATTGTGATTACTTGTTAATGTCGAGGCGAGCTTCAAACACAACAGAGAGAGTGAACCATAATATAGCAGCTTGTAAAACCAAAAGAAAGAGCTCCGAAGAGCTAATAAATCTCATCACTATATGCATCGTGTTATACAGATGAAGTTATCATTATTAGGTTATTTATGTCTGTATGTTTGATTAGTATGGAGAGTGTAACCACCTGTGGTTGTGTAGGAATCTTTGACAGCCAGCTGTTTGGAAGCGAGGCCAGTTTCAGTGATGGTGGAGCACGGAGTCAAACTGCTGGGGTAGAAACTCCCCAAAAACAGAGCGAAACACAACACGACCACCTAGAGAGAGACAGGGGGGGGAGACAGGGGGAGAAAGAGAGAGGGGGAGAAAGAGAGAGGGGGAGAAAGAGAGAGAGAGAGAGAGAGAGAAAATACATTATGAATCAATGCTAAGCAGCTAATGAATGGAAGCAGATGTTTTCAATTCAATATTTCAATCAATGTTTCATCACAACAATCTCCTGTTAGCATGCACACACACACACACACACACACACGCGCATGCACGCACACACACATACACACTGTAGTACCATTAGGCATGATGATGTCTGGGTGCCGGCCATCCTGCAGGATTTGGGGACTTTACCGGCCACCATCGCCTGCAGAGACTGCAGCTGCTGTAACAGAGACCTGAGGAAGAAGCACACACACACACACACACACACACACACACACACACACGAGTTAGACACATAACACATACACACACAAATAACTGTTACTCTGTAGGGTTTGATCCATAATGTTGTCAGACACTTATAATTGATATAGTTTTTTTTCTACCGCTATACACCACCATAAATACCATTAAAATACCAATATACAGCAGTGTAAAGGAAGTACATTTACTTCAACAGTAAGTGACAACAGAGTACTTCTTCTAATATTGTCAATATGTAAATAAAACGACGTGTATGAGCAGCTACAAACTGGTCCAGTGTTAATGTCTTTTGTTCAGCGCTAGTCAGAGGATTTGTTCTGTCGTTTGCTTCATTAAAAAGACACACACACACTATCCAGGTGCACCAGCATCAACACACACACACACACACACACACACAGATGCAAGAGGTTCATTTAACTTTCAGACAGTGACGATGAAGCCCACTTTAACCACTGAGTGGAAAACAAGACCCTAAACAGCTGTGATCCAGTGAGCTGTACACACACACACAGCTCATCCGAGCATAACGAGAGCGAACAACGCCGGCTCGAGCATTTCACATTCAACAACAGCCTCATCATTATGCATGGCTGCAAATTTGCCTATGAAGTGATCTATAGGGAGCTTTTGAGTCCACAATAAAAATGCAGTCAGCATTTCCCTCTCAGCTACACCGTGTGTGATAAAAAAACAAATGCCTTTAAAGGGATTGTAAAAATAAAAAGGTGAATATAAACGCGAAGTCCCAGAGGATGTGTCAAGACTCACATCCAGAGAGAGACATTCCCCTCTCTTTAATTTCCTGGTGTTTGGATTGTCACCACTGTCGAAGCTGTCTCCTCTCCTGCAGCTCACTCAACTCACTCAAGAGCTCCGGTGTTTTCCCTAAAAACTGTGCAACGCTCCCTCTCTTACGTATCGATTCCAGGAGTCCGGTGAAGCCGTGAGTGGTCACAAATAATGACATTACCGGAGGAAATGGTCGGTTGAATTAACGTCAGAACACAGAGACGCTGAGCTAAGTGGTGGAACAGGTACTCAGATCTTGTACTTAAGTGAAAAGTAACAATACTCTGTAATAATACTCTGTTACAAGTAAAAAGTCCTGTATTTAAAATTCAACTTGAGTAAAAGTGTTACCAACTAAATGTACTTAAAGTAAAAAGTACTCATCATGCAAAATGGCCTCTTTCAGAGTGTTATATTATGCAAATGAGATAGGTTGTACACACAAGTTTCTGTGCAACAAGATAATTAAATATAAATAAATAAATAATAATAATAATACATAGTAGTTTTATTTCAGGACTTCGGGGGCTCTCCTGTTTTTGAAGTTTTGTTGTCGGGCAATTTACATTTTTATCATTCTTATGATAAAAGTACAAAGTACGAGATAAAGTACGATAAATACGATACGTAAAGTACAAAAAGAACATGAAGTATGATAACTACCTGATGAAGTATGACAAGTATGTGATGAAGTACAACTCCAACCTGAGTCTAATATCAGCGACATAACTGAAAACACCTGTGAGGATATTTGGGAGCTTTAATCTATAAAGATTAATCATATTTAATAAGTCTAACATGTGTTTTGTATGTTAAATCAAAGGAGCTGTTCAATAAATGTAGTGAAGAACAATATATGATATGGATATACTTAAGTAAAGTACTTTAACAGTACTTAAACTACGTTGTACCACTGCATTGTGTATTGTGATGCGTTGATTATTACCTGTATTTGCTGATATGATGATAAACAATCTTTTTGTTCGATTTTTGCAACGATACCTGAACGTTTCATACTTCACAATGAGAACTACTTTAATTAAATGTGTCTAAAATACACCTTTCAGGACCTGAACCTTTACTGTGTCTGAAGTCAGTCACATGTGTGTGAATGTGTGACTGTGACCTTCTTACTTGTTTGTGCACTCCAGAGTTTCCACTTTCCTGCGTAGCTCGTGGTTTTCGTTGGAGCAGGTCTCCACCCTGTGGTCAGACAATAGTACTGCAGGGTCAGTGACTGCAGATCATCTATCATTTAGCATAACTAGATGTAGTTCCTCTTTGTCATGATATAATCTTCTACACTCGTAATGCTTGCAATGTCCCAGTCTCTCAGATATGATGAAGACGAGGAGGAGGACTTACTTCTTCTCCAGAGCGTCCATGTACTCTTTCTTCTTCCTGCGACTCTCTTGAGCCGAAATCTAAGACAAAGAGGAAGACATTTAAAGAAAGAAGCACATAAGATTGCTCTACGTTGTGTGACAAAATTCATTAAGGTTTAATTTATTATAATAATATCTCTCCCAATTATTTGGTGGTTATTAGGGGGTCGATATACTGGCCTGACAGGAATCTGTACCTTATTTTTGATCTTCCTGCGGATCTTCTTCAGCGCCTTCTCTTCGGCTTTGGTGAGCGGCAGCTTGGTGGGCACCGGGTAACCTTCGGCCACCAGCGTCCGACGCTCCTCCTCAGTCAGCATCAGGGGGCCCGACCCCTGCAGCTTCTACACACACAAAAACATACAGCCAGTTATAAACAGGGGGGTAAAAAGATGAAACACTGAAATAAAGTTTATTATTTGCAGTCCTTTCAATGCAAATGTCTCTAAATAAATAGACGTATTGTTGTCATGTGTGACAGGTTTGGATCGGTGGATTACTCACATGGGCGGCGGTGAGCAGAGGGGAGTTGGAGAGGGAGGAAGCAGCGCGAGGAGACACCTTCAGGCCGGCCTGGGAGGGAGGAGGGCTGGTGGGGGAGGTGGGGGAGGACAGGCCGGGGGGGGGCGTGGACGGGGCTCTGGCTGCCCTCCGAGTCGCTGCCGTGGGAGCTGGGAGGAGTGGGAGGCATCTGCAGCGACTCCAGACCTGGAACGACATCCTGATTAAAAATGCTTCATGCAACCATGAAAAGTCTTAGAGTTAAAATAAACTGCTGTATCAACAAATGGCCAGCAGGGGTCGCTGTAGCATCAGATAAGTGACTGAGTGAGAGGGTGAAACAGTTAAATTCACACCTTTGGGTGAAAGATTGAGGAACTGGTCCACTTCATGAGGCTCCAGTTTAATCTGAGGGATGATGTTCTCCTCTTTTATCTGACGACAGAAGAAGAGTGATGACACAGTTACAAACAAAAAAATCACCGAAAATATCACCAACGATCGTCACGCTTAACTCTCACCTTGAAGCCTTTGCCCTGGTTGTGGCTGCTGACGGTGGTCTGAGGTGGGGAGGCGGCAGCAGCAGCTGGGGGGGCCACAGCGAGGCCCTCGGGCTCCTGGGGCCCCCTGCTGGAGGAGGCCAGAGAGAGGGAGAGGGTAGGGAGGAGGGAAGGAGTCTCACAAAGGAGGCTGTCGATGGCGTCCTCCTGCTCCATGGGCCAGTCAGCCGAGTCTCCATCAGACTCTGCAGCACAAGAGGAGACATGGACTCCTGTTACTGTCCTCTGGGACTCTTTAGAAGGACTTTGATGTTCTTAACCTGTGTTTTAAAACGAATTCCACTAATCTGCCTCTTACCTGCGTCACTGCCTTGCTCTCCGGTCAGGTGCGACAGGGGCGACTGTGGTCGGCTGTCCCCGCAGAGCGAGTAGCTGTGCTCGGCCGTGATGTGAGGCGGCAGAGGGGAGGACGGGGACAGGTCGCTGCCGTCCTCCCCCTCCATGGACTCCACACCGCCTCGCACCGCGGACAGGAAGGGGTCGCTGAGCAGCTGGCCCAGCAATGCATCCTGGGAGAGATCGTCGAGGAGCTCGGAGAAGTGCTGCACAAGACAAGGAAGAAATATATACTGAAACTATCTCATTTAATACAAGCATAAAATATCAAGCTGAGACGAGGACACAGACGGATAATTAGATAAATAGTTAGAGTGGAATACAGCCTGCCTGTAATCACAGACGGCTAAGCCTTTACTTTAACTTCTCCCCTCAGGGAACACTAAAGCAGCCAATTAAAAACATGTAAAATTGTCTTTCACCGTTTCTCTTTCTGTGTGTGCGTGTCTCTCGGTCTGGAGACACATTTACAAAAGTCATGAAGAAGACAAGCGTCCTCCTTCCCCACATTCCTGCTGCTCTCTCTATCTTTCCCTTCCATCTCTTAACGAGTTGAGCGTTCAGGTGTTGTGACGAACAACAACAAAAGGCCCCGCAGGTGACGCGTTGATAACATACTGACATACATCTCCTGTTAGTGAGCATGGAACTGGTAGAAACCTATAATTACTGCTGGAGAGCCAGCAAATCATCACAACCTTGTGTTTCTTTTCTTTTGTCATTTCAGTATTTTCATTATATTTCATCTGCAGGATTTGTTTTTGATTGTCGTCAACAGAATGTGAGTAAAAAGTGACAAATGTCAATCACAATTAGTTGAGAAACGTCCAAAAATAACAAGTTTACAATTATATAAAATGAGGAAAAGCAGCAGATGCTCATGTTTTAGTTAGACAACAAAGAATAGATTATTTTCCTAGATTTATTCTTGCTTATACCTTTATTTTGAAAATTTAAAGAATAAGACAGCTTGTTGTATCAAGAAAACTGAAAAATTTAATTAGGAATAAATTAACTACTTTGCTGTTAACTAACACAATATTCTAACAAGTCTAATACAAGTAAGAGTGATTCATTATTGGAACAGCAACATGTTTATAATATAACTGTGCGACTACAAAATAAAAGTCCTGCCCTCACTCGAACTCATCGCTCCCGAGAGAACGTGAAAATATTTCTGCTCAGATTCTGTTGCCGGGCAGAAGATCGTGTCCAATGAAATATTGGTGATGTGAGAGCAGTCTGGGCTCAGCCAATGAGAAGGAAATAAACTATTTAAATCAAACACACGTGAAACCGAGACATCTGGAACTGTTGACCGAGAAAAGGAAAGAAAGGAAATGAAGGAAACTTTATTCATATGGAACATTTCACACACAGAGGCGACTCAAGGTGAGTTTAAAGTTTAAAGAGACAGAAGAAGAGGAAGAAAAGAGAAAGACTAAGTTCTGCAGTTTTTAGCATAAAAAGTTAGTCTAATAGTTTTAATTAAGGAAAGAGATTAAAAAGAAAGAAGGGAAAGAAGGGAAGGGAGAAAAGACAGAGGGAAAGGAAGGAAGGATAGGATAAAAAGGAAAGGAAAACAAAGGAAAGAAGAAAGGAGGACAGACAATGAAAGGAAAGAAGTAAAAGAGGACAAGGAGGGAAGAAAGGAAGGAAGGAAAGAAAGAAAGAAGGAAGAGAGAAAGTAATGGAAAGGAGAAGAAGAAAGGAAGGAAAGGAATTGAAAAGAAAAGAAAGACGGAAGGAAGTTAGGAAGGAAAGAAGGGAAAAAAGAAAGGAGGGAGGAAAGGAAAGGAAATCTAGCATTCAGACATATTTTGTTCCGTGACATCAGACAAAAGGACGTACAGAGAGACAAGAGTGAAATCAAGATGGAGGAAACAGGAGGAGGGCCAAACATGTGGCTTCAATTACAGGCCGAGAGACTTTCTATTACACACACACACACACACACACACACACACACACTCAGTGAAATGACCTCTTAACTCCATAAACACACATCACGCTCCTGCCACCATATGCTGCCCTATAAGGCCACTGGTTTCAGGCCTCTGTGTGTGTGTGTGCGTGTGTGTGTGTGATGCCAACACCGACAGCGTACCGTGAATCTACTCAAGGAGGGAAGACAAATATGTACACACTTATCCATCAGATGGGTCCATTTCCACCTTTCAGCCAAGAAAAGAGTGCACGTATGAGTGTGCACGAGCCAAAACCCATTACCTTTACAGCAGTTCACGACGCTTTACAGCGTCTCCTGGCTACCACATCTCGTCTGCTGCTGATATTATGGTTCAGTTACTGACAGTTGAGGGTTTTGTAAACAAATAAAATAGCTCTTGTTGCAGGAAAATATAAAATATATGAAGTTAACTCCATTAAAAGTGAACATTCATTCAAGTTTAGAGAAAAATAGTTTGAAAATATCCTCTCAAAGAGGGAGTAAAGAAAAGGAGATTGATCGGGTTTCAGCTGAAAAAGAGGAGAGACCATCATGATGGTAAAAGAGGGAGGAGTTTTTAGGGAGGAGTAATTACATCCAGAGCCCATCTTTAAAAAAAGGCCATATTTTGTGGGGTTAAGTGACCTTTGACATTAACTTGTAGTTTTGTCAGATCAATATAAACCATTAATAACATTCTTAAATCCGCATGCAAATCATAGCAAATAAGAGGCATTTTCACATTATCTTCAGTAATCCAGTGATATTGTCTGTAAATCCATGCGCGCATTGCATACAAGATCAGGTAATAGGTAATTCGGCATACTTTAAATGATGCTAACCTGCCGAAATGTAAACAAACACAGGCTACAACGGGGCTCAGGTTTTAGCTCAAGCTAATTCACAGTGCAGACGTTTACACAGAGAGGAATAAAGCCTCATGTTGTTCAAGAAAAGGAAATGGGAGAGGTCCATCTCTGCAGAACATATGCAGAATATATAGAGAGGATTTGTATTCGCTCCCTGTCATTTTCTGTGTGTGGTTGTGGTTGAGAGAAGTAAATGTGATGCAGGGAGTAGACCGGGCTGCAGGATCGGTCACTGGTCGGGTGTAACTCATCACACACACACACAAAACAGAAACCTCTTTGTCTTCGCAGCCCAACGCAGAGGCGTTATTTGGGGTCGACTGTAACTCGACACTCTTCGGCTGGGAAACTTAAAGCCTAAATGGGAAAACTGGGAGCGTAAACTGGAACTAGGGCAAGAATCCGTAAGCACTCTGAAGGAGCAGTGGTGTTAACAAAGGAGCCTATTCTCATGTTCTTTCTGAGTAACATATCGAAACACAGCAGAGGACGTTGCTGAAAGTGCAGATTGTTATCTTTTAATGAAGCCACAATGAAGTCTGTCGACGGAGGAGGAAAAACAGAGAGATTGTCTCTCCAGTTCCTGGTTCATCCAAAGAGATGATCCTCTCGGAGGCCTGATCTTAATACAAATCAGAGGAACACTGATGAAGAGAAGATGCCGAAATGGGTCAGAAAACTCTATTAAACAATCAGAGGCAGAACTGAGAGTGAAGGAAAACTGTTAGCTGAGATTGAGCCAAAGAGCATCTTGTTTGTTGTCACCATGTTGCAGTTGTAGCTACATTTCACGCTAAATTACAAATGTCAACCTCATGGTGGCGCTACAGGAAAAGTCAAGAGGATCACCAAAGTCATAAGGATTCATCCTCTGGGGATCGTGAATGTCTGTACAAAATTTCATACCAATCCATCGGATAGTTGTTGAGATATTTCAGTCGGCACTTAAGTGGTGGACCAATTTCTTTAAAAACACTCCCAGGCAGAGTGGCGAGTGATAAGCCTTCACAATAAAAGCCTCGACAGCTGTGTTGGTCAGTAGTTAGCAGTTAAATTAACGGTCTGGGAGTGGAAGGAATGTCCTCTCAGGCCTGTAATTCTTCCGTTAAAGTAAGATGTCTGTTTTAACGCTTAATGACCAGAAGTTTAAAACTGCAGAGGTAGGAAGAGGAGGGACGTTTGGTGATGTAACACCTTCCTCCCTCAAAGAGCAAAAAACAGATGTGAAAGAGTACTGGCATTACTAATGACGCACACACACGCACACACACACACACGCAGAACCAAGGGTCATCTCCCTGGAGAGTGTGTGTCGGAGTGTGTGTGTGTACCTTGTCCTGGACTTTTGCTGATGATACAACTTCACAAACACTAATAAAAAAAGACACACTCGGAGTTATGTCAAGATAAACTCAATGACTCATTTGTTTGTTTTGGATCCAGGTTGAAGACTTGTTCCAGCCACTATTGACCACCACTATAGACCACTACTATAGACCACCACTATAGACCATCACGTGTCCCATCATAACCAGATTAAACCAGTATTAAAGTCCCAAGAGATACAGTATCTGACCGTTTATCTGCCGCTTCACTGTTAAATAATGTATTCATAGTTTCGTTTCCACTGTTTAATAAGTCACCAATAGGTTTATAATCTGCAACTAATAGCTTTTTTTTTATAGATCACTCATTTATAAGACAGTACATCGCAAATAAACGTTCATAAATCCACTTGGAAATCATAGGAAAGTCTCCTTATAACTACGAAACATCACGTTTTAGCATTTTCGTCAGGATAAAAGTACTCCAGTAATACTTGTCTGTACTGGGTGCACTGTAAACAGGAGCAGCTAATAGCTAATTCTGCATACTTTTAATGACGCTAACTTGGCAAAATGTAAACAAATCCAAGCTGCAAATACACAGAGTCAGACTTTAAAAACCCCTGATATATGTCAATAAGTCATTATAAGGCTCACGAGCTTCTCCCTGTCTAGTCAGCTATCATCTAATGTTAATATTTAATTAAACATCTTGATAACTCAACAACTGGTTTTGTTACTTTCTGCAGACTTCAATTGTTGTTTTTATGTCTTTTCTTCCAGTTCATGTTCACGCTTTCTTTTATTTAATCCTTTGACGTTTGTTCCAATTACTTTTAAAGTTTAAATTAAGGTAAAACTCGTTGAAACTGCGTTGTGAATGAATATATATATATATATATATATATAAATAAATGTGCCTTTTCTTCACAGATAAAAGTTGCCTCACAAGTAAAACAAAACTTAGTTGTCTGAGTGAGATTCAAATCTAGTGTTTTCGTTGCCTATTTTACACCGGACACTGTTGAACGCATGCACTGAGAAGATGCACGATATTACAGAAG